TTGATTATTGATAATTCTATTATTAATAAAAGTTTTGCTTTAATAGTTGAAAAGGTATTCAAGGAATTGATATAAGATTTATATCTTTGAATCGAAGTCCTTAAAATGAAATTACTTTCTGACTTCAGCAATATACTAAAGATAAACTATATAGTTATATTTTTTCAATTTATTTCATATATCAATAATATTATATATTACTAGAAAAGAAACAAGAATAGAGTAATAAATAGAATTGACTACAAAATTGATAATAAAAATAATATTTCTATATTTCTTCTTATAAATATAAGTATTTATAATATGAAATATATCAAGAGAATCAATTAATTCTTCTTTATTTCCTTAAATAATAATTAATACATTTAGATATAATTCATAGAACTCATTCCAATTGTTATTATTGAAGATGATAATAGTACTCCATTTTGATGGTGCTATATTGACCAGTTAGGCTAGGGAAAGGCGAATAAAGGAATAAAGAGAATAAATAAAAATCTTATTTAAATTAAATTAATCGATATTACAAGTTGTATAAAGATATCAACAATATAGGCTTTATAACCTATCAGAAATATATACATATTATATTCAGATACAGAATCTAAGCTATGCTATAGAGTATATAAGTAAACAGATATATGCTAGTAGTGAATATAGAAGAGGGGTAGTGCTGTGATACCTGTAGTACCCATGACTTTCTAACAATCATATATATATATATATACATCTCTATACATCTCTCGATCAAAGATACACACTTGATATATAGATATAGACTCTTTCTGCCCACCATCGTTACATACTCGTCTAATTGCACTCACTATCTTGTCTGGCTCCCGCTAGCAACAATGGATTGGAGAATCTGTATCTTGTTCTTTCTTGTTTTGACTGGTAGAGGTCGAGTACGTACTGGTCTTGAAGTGGATCACGGTTTTTGCTCTGTATTTTATGCGAGAGAATTTAATGTGTGTATGTATATGTATGAAATACTTTCCACTAGCTGAAAATTACTGATACATGCAATGCACATTGGCTTGGTTGAATGTACCTCTTGGACTTGATATGTCGGTAATGAGCTGCGGAATACATATTGAATATTCGATATTCGTGCTGGGTGGTTAATGACGTCTATATTGGAGAAGAAACGATATGGCATGTATCAATTGGAGAATGGAGCATGTAGGAAAGGGAAGTTCTGGTAGGGGCTGTGTGGGTAAGTATGGGACTGAGGAGTAGACTGAAGAGGACCTTTTGTCAACCGAGTAGAATGCCTTGCGGGCAGAAGAGGATGGTGAATATTAGATTGGTGGTCTGGGGGGACAGGACTCGATTGTAAGAGTGGAGGGACTTTGGAAGTTGAGTAAATATAACATGTAGGTGGCAGGGAGGGGGTGGAAATCTTGATGTTGATTTGGGGAGAGCTTGGAGACAAGATTATGATATCCGCTGTTTGAGTATGTATGGAATATCGAGAAAGGCGTTGATGAGTGCGGAGATGGCGGTGGGAGTGGAGAGTGAGGGAATGATGCAGTGAGAAAGTGCAAATATGCCAGCAGGGCTGGGGGAGCTTGGGGAGGGCCGGGGTAGACAGACTCAAACTATAATCATACAAGATCTCGAAGTAGGTTGCCATAGCATAGCACCCATTACGTTATTGGGTGCATTCGTTCATTTTGGGTACGTATCCATATGATGTGACCCTTGAAGTTTATTCCTTTCTTCCTAGCTACAAAACGTCGTATATAATTTCATCTGATAGGAGGGATCTAAGCAATATAAACTGTATCTATCATATTGCGTTGGTATTGGTCATATTGAATCTAGTCTTAAATGGATCATCACATAACTTCGTATTACTTTCTGATTCCCGGATGTATATCATCTGAGAATGCTGGCAGATAATTGTGTATCAGTATATTGTAAATGTAGAGTCTGATAATAACCAGACGATTGTATAACTCCGTGCCATGTTCTGGTCTCTGTCCCTTGCACAGTTGAGGTCATATACTGATTTCTCGGATAGAATACTCGAGTGTTCATTCTTCTTCTTGCCATATTCGCTTTGTATGTATGAGAGTGGCTCGTAATAGTCTCAGGTAAATTACGAGGACAGACCTTCTAACGTCACAAATATGTTGGAGCAGTCGAATATCGTCTCCGGCATTTCGAGAAGACGCATTTGGAAACATGAAAATAAGTTTTGACAATGAAGTATCTTTTCTGGCAACTTGTGAGGATAAGTAAGACTCTGATAGTTCAAGATACATTGGGCTGTTTGCAAGTAGTCTATGGTTTGCTTTTCCCTGCCTTCCTCTCCCCCATATTCATAGGAGAGCCTTGTACCCCTCCTACCTGTTCATCAACAGCCAATGTCACCATCCCAATCACAGTAGCCTATTCTCCATATATCTTCCTCTCACATAGGTGTGCAAAGGTCGATCAATTGAGTACATATCATTTTAGTCCGCCAGATCCAAAGTGATGACATGAAGAAAAATATCCGGAGATCAATGGCCAATAAAATGAACCAATCCTACCCACCTGGCTGGATATCACTCAAAACATCACCATCCTCGTTTCTTCATCTGACAGTATCCTCGAGTTCAATGACATGCCCTCCAACATCACTGTCAAGCACGCCGACATAACCTCCTGGCCTATCTCTCCTCATTCTGTCCTGTTGTAAATTATGCCAGTATTGTTGAAAAGAGATAGGACACATGATTCGATGCTACCCTGGGCATCTATAATCCTGAATCGAACAGTTCAGAGTTTCAAGTGGTCCGGACTAAGTATATGGTCCAGATATGGAAGCCAAAGCTGTGACTGTCTAAAGCCATATTAACAACCTGAGTGGATTTTGATGTTCGTGATGGATTGTGTGTTTAACATGACGTCAAAAATACTCTCTTATAGTTGGCCCGGTGCGGGTTATTGGGGAACCTTGTGTTAGTTTAGTCGACTTATTGCTCCTGGATGCCATGCCAAGCACTGTCAATACCAAAATGATTCACAACTACAAGACTAGATGGATTAGTCATAGAAACTAATAATCAAGTATATGCTTGTGGAGGTTGTGTGGTGCCATGGCGGGTGCTTCACTGCTGTAGGTGTATGGTTTTTCTAACTAGAAATCCAATTCAATACATATCATCAATTTAGTTCAAGCTGATTCTTGAGGGTCCAAATAATTGTAGGAAGTTTTATGGTTTCACTCACCTCATGGGATATTGGAAACGGTCCTCTGAGATGATCCAAGAGCTAGAAGAGGAACAATGTGGGAAAGAGTTCACAACCCCGAGATCGGGCCCCTTCCCCAGGGCAGAATGGCATTTTAGACAGTACCTCGACTAAAAAATTGTATCAGAATCTTCAAGTCTACTCCCTAGGTTTGCTGAGATACTTCGAGAAGGAACTGGAATTTATATCACTTTCGTTTGCAGCTAACCTGCAAAACATTCAAGGCATCTTTTAGAAATCAGCATCTACAGTATCAGCAATAATGCCTTTACTAAATGCAACGAGAAATGCCACAAAAATGTTCTATAAACCATTCAACGATCTCAAGATCTCACAAGCTCCATGTGATAGGATTTCCGAGTGAAAATCACGGTTCTCTTAGCCCTAAAATATAATGTGGCGATGCTGAAGTAGTGGTAATATATTTGAGTTTGTATTGGTAGAACTTTGCAAAGTTTTTCTTTCAGCACTTCTTCTCGAATGATAAGGTATAATGAAATTTACGATACATAAACATAAAGCCTTGAGAAGTATTAAGGGAGTGATCAACTCCAAAATGCTCAAAATTAGCCAGTCTTCCTGAAATTGTTAAGTGTTGACTTCCTTCACAAACCACAATTAGGGCCCCTCGCTAATCCTGCTGGAACTTCAACCTAGGTAAGTACTTGATAGTGATCCAAACCTTAACTAAACATAATCATGACAGCAAAAAGGAGTGTAGAGAATGGATTTATATCTTTCCGTGTCTAAAAGAAAGAAGGGAAGATACATCTAGATGTCTAGAAGGGCTAGTGATATGATATCAAAGTGGTTGCCCATGGCTGTGACTTTGATGAACCACCAACGGAATAAAATACATTAACAATGCGACACTGCATGGAAATGGTCGGTTGAAAGCAATCTATCGAAGTGTATAATGGTTGCGGTATCATGTAATATCACACGGACTTGTCTACCATATCCTTTGATACAAAGTAGTAGCTAAACCATTCAGCTAATAGCTCTCAGGAAAGTAGTTGAAAGGAAAGGTAGACTTCTAGATAACTTAGAATACCATGAATCATGAAAAGTAAGTTAGTATAATAGTATCTTCCCTTGCATTAGGTTCTTAGTGCATATTATATCGTTTTTGGAATGTGCCCCTTGTACATATAATTGGCTCTTCCGAGTGGTCTTCCTTTTAGACCCAGCCACAAATTGCCTCTGTCCCCTCTCTCCTTCTTCCACTTTCTTCAATTGATGTAATCTTTCAACCACAACAACACCACATTTCATACGGACTGTTCCCTTTTTACTATTCAGCAACATCGCGATTTTGAAGTCAAACAATTCTTTCCAGTCTCCATTAATTACTTCACATTTTTACTATCAACAACCTTGTCTTTCTTACTCATCAGTTTCGCTCTGAGTGAGAGAGCAAGCCACAGCTCAGTGGACAGGACCCAACTCGTCAACTTTCGCGTCTTCTCCATAACATTCATTACTGTTACAATAATAACGCGACGCTTTTCGATCAATATGTTTTCCACTTTACTAGATAGAATGGGCGCATCGTCTCGCTCCTCTAGCAAGCACGATATAACGCGTGCTCCTTCATCAGAATCAATCAATACTGCCATCACCGTCGACGACACCTCGAACCTACATTCCTCGTCATCCACACCTCCAACAAGCATTGGAGACAATGTTAGTGTTACTTCTGCCACGACCAAGCCCGAGTCCACTGTCGACGAAGCCTCAATCGCCCCACAGCAAACAGATAGACGAAGTCGGCGAACACGCGCAAACGTTGGGACCTATAATGTTAAGGTTTTGAGCGGCACGGCTGTACATGCCCCGAGGAAGTACTTAAAGAACAAGGGCATTCTGGACAATGAAGCACGGCGTCAAACAATATCAGGAGGTGAATTGGGGGGTGCATTGGGCTCGACAAATTTCTCTAGAGACTCCGCGGAAAAAAGTGCACAAAATTTGGTCAGTGAGGGAATTGATGCTCTGGACTTGTCCTGGTCAGCCAAGAAACTGCGCAGATCAAGCAGAGAAATCAACTCTCTCGACAGCCCAAAAAACAGTGCTAGGACTGAGGATCTTTCTCGACGAAAGTCTTTACGATCAACCCCCGACGAAAAGGTGGAAGGGCTCACCAAGAAGATCGGCGTGCTAGGAAAGAGGAGCCGAAAGGAAATCGAAGGAGGTCTTCAGAAGGCAAAGAGGGAGCTCAGAAACCTCGCCGACACAAAGGAGTTTGCCAAGATCGAGACAGAGCCTGTTGTATTGGAAGTATGGAGTAATGGAAAGTTTGTGCCAAAAGAGTCGGCAAGGAAGAAGAAGAAGGCAGAGGAGGCCTCATCACAAGTTTCCCAACCCGAGCCCACCAAAACTCCAGCAAAAAAGCCAGTGCAAGGCAGAAAAGAGAAGACTTGGCTGAGGAAGGGACTCTACGCGGGACAGGACCCGGAAAACCTTGATTGGTTCAAATCGTCAGGAAATGTAAAGTCAGCTTTCAAGTTGACTGATAAGCCAAACCAAGCCTTGCCATTGCCCCTATGGAATGGCCAAAGATTACTACACGTTGGAAGAGATTTCAAACTACCGTTCGACATCTGTGCTCCACTTCCTCCCGGGCAACCTAAGCCTACCGAGTGGTACAAGACTTCTCATAGTAAGTTACAGTGCATTTCGGCGTCATATACTTTGCTAATTCTTCATATCAGATCGATTCATTGGAGAAGCTGGTACAATGTGGAAGAAGTCAAGCTTGTTTGATAGTTTCTTCTCTAAATGTATCTGTAAACCCGACATGGGCTGTGACGAAGATTGCCAAAATAGGATCATGCTTTACGAATGCGATGATACCAATTGCGGCGCAGGCCGAGACAATTGCACCAATCGTGCGTTTGCTGAGCTCTTTAATCGTCGCAAAGGAAACTCGTTTCGGAAAGGTGGTAATAAGTACGAGATTGGAGTTGAGGTGATCAAGACAGCTGATCGTGGCTACGGAGTTCGAAGTAATCGCTGCTTCAACCCAAATCAGATTATTGTTGAATATACGGGCGAGATCATCACAGAAGACGAATGTGATAGACGTATGAACGAGGATTACAAAGATAACGAGGTGATTACATTCATTTTCCAGAGAGAATAAGTTGACTAACTATTACTTAAAAGTGTTACTATCTAATGTCATTTGATCAAAATATGATCATTGATGCAACGAGGGGAAGCATTGCTAGATTCGTCAACCATTCCTGCAGACCGAATTGCAGAATGGTGAAATGGATCGTGGAGGGTAAGCCGCGAATGGCTCTGTTCGCTGGCGACAATCCTATCACGACAGGGGATGAGCTCACCTACGACTACAATTTTGACCCATTTTCCGCCAAAAATGTTCAATCGTGTCGATGTGGCAGCGACAATTGTCGTGGTGTATTGGGACCTCGACCAAAGGATCAGAAAGTCACCAAGGCCACCAGTATTAAAGAGGTTGTTAAAGCTGGTATCAAGGCCGGCAAGCGAAAGCTTCAGCAGATGATTGGTGACAACGAAGACGACGAGGATGCCCAAATTACAAAGAAACGGAAGACAAAGGCGGCCACAGGAGTCAAACTTAAGAAATCAATCTCTTCAAGATTACTGAACGCTCGTAACGCAATTGGCTCTAGCAAGAAGACAATTAAAGTTAGCTCACCCACAGCTGGTGCAATCAAAACCTATGGAAAAAAACAGACGAAGCTCTCGTCAAACAGCACGAGCCTGGCAATTGTTTCGCCCGAGAAGAGTCCTCAGGCCAATAAAACAACGAGGAGAGACAGTATCCAAAGTATAGCCCGAAGTATGCGTTCGACCAGACGATCAAGCGTGTTTGATGATGCCAACGAGAGTACAATTCGAGTTGTCACTAACGTTGAGGAAGAAGATTAAATGAGGTAACTGTAACCATGATCACCACATTTTTGGCTGCATTGTTAAGGGCAGCCGTTGCGCTCGCGGGGGGGAGGGGTTGTTAGGATTGGAATGGGCACATGGATTTTTATCGTGTTTGGGCTGCTGGCATGGCTAAATCTTCAACGACAGGCGTATGGCTTTCTCACTATGTATGAATATCTACTAATAGTTTCTCAATATAAGCTTTCGTGATTTTTGCTTCATTTAAATTTTTAACTGTAAAACGTCTAATTGAGTGAGATTGTCAGAAGTGTATGTAGATTATATTCAGGTATAGAATCTAAGCTATGTTATAGAGCGTATAAATAAACAAGATGTATGCTAATAATGAATATAGAAGAGGGGTAATGCTATAATACCTGTAATACCCATAACTTTCTAACATCCCCCCTATAATTAAAATCTTAATTATCTAAAGTATATGTTACAAAATAATCTCTTTATATAATTATTAAAGCTTTATTAACTTTTGTAATAATCTATAATCCTATTATTATTATAATATCTAATTTTTTGTAAAATTTAATTATCCTATAATTAAATTTATTATATTACAATATAAGAATATTCTTACTTCTCTTCAAAATCCAAACCTAATCTTAAACTATAGATATAAAATATTGAATAAATGAATTGTTTTATAAATATATCTATTATTTATTCTATTCTTGGAATTTGTACTATATATATTCGTTTTATATCAATTATATCTTCATAAATATAATATTATTTGATTTGAATATATTTTGTCTTACTATAAAACTTGTTTTTATTTATTTAATCTATCTTACTTTTATTATTATAGTA